CTCCTAGAATTGGTCTTATTTGATTCACCCCAGTGTGTGTGTGTGTGTGTGTGCGTGTGCGTGTGTGTGTGTGTGTGTGTGTGTGTGTGTGTGTGTGTGCATACCCTGGGCTTCAAGCTCTCTTGCTCACAGCTGGCACCCTACCACTTCAATCATATCTCTAGTCCAGAATTTTGCTTGTTAATTGGAGATAAGAGTTTTGTGGTCTTTTCTGCCAGTGCTGGCTTTGAACAGTGATCCTCTCTGATCTCAGCCTTCTGAGTTGCTAGGATTACAGGAGTGAGTCACTGTCACTGGGCTTGGTTTAAAAATTTAAAAATTCATGCAATGGTTTCTTTTCCCCCACATCCCCACCAACATTTGTTGATGTTCAAATTCACAATATTGGCCAATCTAACTGGGGTGAGATAGAATCTCAGAATTGTTTTGATTTTTATTTCCTTTATGGCCAGGGATAATGAGCATTTCTTCATGTATTTTTTGCTATTCTTGCCTATTCTTTTCCCAGTGTTTGTTGGTGGGAATGTAAACTAGTAAAACCATTCTAGACAGCAGTCTGGAGGTTACTCAAAAAAACTAAACATCGACCTTCCTTATGACCCAGCCATATCACGCCTGGGCATCTACCCTGAATAACATGACCCAGGATATGATGAAGACACCTGAACATCCATGTTGATTGCCACTTTATTCACAACAGCCAAGACATGGAAACAGCCCAGATGCCCCACAAATAGATGAGTGGATCCAAACTGTGGTACCTATATACAATGGAATTTTCCACAGCCATTAGAAAGAATAAAACAATGCCATTTGCATGGAAATGGATGGAACTAGAACAAATCATGTTACGTAAGCCAAGCTCAGAGAGACAAATGGCGTATGTTCTCTTGGATACGCAGGAATTAGATCTAAAATATATGGGATATGATAAATTATACAGGATTCCAGGTAGTCACATACTGTGAGGCCAAAAAAGATACTCTTAGGAGAGAAACACAAAGGTGCAATGCCTAAGTGCCTCTATATTTATATAAAGTCACATATATATATATATTAAAATGAACAAGATATGGAAACAGATCTCTCTTTTTTATTTTTTGATAATTCTGTCTTCTTTATGTATGGTGTATTCATTTGGGAGAGTGGGTAGGGGAAGGGTACAGAATTTGAGGGAAAAAGAGTGGAAAAGTCCAGCAGTGGAACTCACTGGACACTGATGAATGGTGAATTATATAACTCATGGGTAGAGATGGGAGGGAGAGACTGGGAGAGAATGAGGGAATAGAAGACACTGTATGAAAGGAAGTGTATTCATTCCTGATCCATGAAATTGTAATCCCTCTGTGTATCACCTTTATAATAACAATAAAGAATGTGGTAGAAAATTCCCTGTATAGCCCACAGAATTAAGAAAAACGAGGTAAGGAGTGGGTGGAGAGGGATGTGTGAGGAAGATAAAGTCATGTAATGGAGTTTTAGTCGTTCATTAGAAAGAAGGATATTATAGCATTTGTAAAGAAATGGACAGGCCTGAAAAACTGATGTTAAGTGAACTAAGTAGGTCCAGAGATTGAAAGGAAGCATGTTTTCCCTTGCAGGTGAAAGGTAGACATTGCTTATAAACTTAAAAGTAAATACATTGGGTGGTATGCAAGGGTATACAAATGTATTAACTGGTCTATGGCAGATCCAAGGGAGAACTCAGCTAGTGTAATTCCTTAGAAAGGCAAACTCAAAGTTCAGCAAAATAAAATACGTAGAATAGGGTATTCGACAGGGGTGTGGTGGAATCAAGGGGAAATGTGGAAGAGAAGGGGGAGAATGCAATCAACACTCAATGTGTATCTTACAAAATTAAGAAGAATGAGAGAAGGGGTAGATATGGGATGGATGGGTGAGAATGTTCAAAGGGGTGACATTGATCAGGATATATTATATTTATAAGCTGCTTTGTCAAATGATAACTCATTTGTATACTACTTAAAGATAATTTAAAAAAATACCCTTTCAAACCCATACAAACCTTTTCATTGTGTTCCAGGCAGCTTTTTTTCTTTTGCTAAGAAAAATTACATGTTCTTTGGCCTTTTCTGAGCTTTTATTGAAGAAGGTTAAATAGCTTATGGCTACAAAGAATTATAAGTCATCCTGACCCCAAAATAAATATATAGTCATTAAACCCTCAGCTTTATCAACCAGTTCAGATACTTTTTTTGGGGGGGGGTCCGGTTGTGGAGCCTGAACTCTGGGCCTGCCGGCTGTCCCTCAGCTCTTCAGCTCAAGCCTAGTGCTCTACCACTTGAGCCACAGCGCCACTTCCGGCTTTTTTCTTTTTGCTTATGTGGTGCTGAGGAATCAAACCCAGGCCTCAGGCATGCAAGGCAAGCGCTCTACCACTGAGCCACCTTCTCAGCCCTTAAAAGCTTTTTTTTTGGCCTGTTGTGGGGCCTGAACTCTGGGTCTGGGCGCTGTTCCTCAGCTCTTCAACTCAAGGCTAGTGCTCTACCACTTGAGCCACAGGGCCACTTCAGCTTTTTTCTTTTTGCTTATGTGGTACTGAGGAATTGAACCCAGGGCCTCATGCATGCAAGGCAAGCGCTCTACCATTGAGCCACCTTCCCAGCTCTAGTTCAGATACTTTCTTCAGACCTGCATTCTAAAGAGATTTGTACCCATGTATTCATATTTTTGCATTTTGTTGTACTGGGCATTTCATTCCCACTCCTTTTTGTTGCTGTACTACCTGAACAAGTAATTTTGCCTTTAGTTTGTTTTTATCAGATAGAATCTTTCCATACCTCTCCCTTGAAGTTTGATTGTTCTGAGGAACTGAGCCTGCAAGCATGCCCCGCCACTCCTTGGCTTGTTTTATCAGTTTAAAAATATTTTTAAATAACTGGACAAAGGGGTCTAACTTCAACATGTCAGTTCATGAGTCCAGTGCATCTTGATCAATGCCTAGATTGTTTTTGAGATAGAGTCTCTCGATAATTTTCATCAAAGCACAATCTTCCTGTATATCCACCTGAAACCACAATTTCTTGACTGATGCATTTAAGAGCCATCGGCCATCCTGCTCCTCATGCTGCTTCATATCTTGAGGACTCAGCTACTTTTTTTCAGCATTTTCTTTCTCTTCTTCCCCACTGAAGCTAAGCCACATCCCTTTGTGATGCCAGCTCACACAGTTGCTGACCAGCCCTTCTTCTAGACATTCTTTGACTAAGCCTTGACTAGTAGCTGACTGTCTTCTGTCATGACTCTGCATACATTTGATTTTATGACACTAGTGACACCTGTAATAAAGTCTCCTCTCTCAGTGAGCTAGTTCCAGACAGGTGCAGAAAGAATGGGATAGTTGGTAAGATAAGCACTTTATCTGGTAAGAATGAATACTTCTTGCAAGCTAGCCAACTGCAGCACTAGGACCTTCTCTTTCACAAGTGGCGAAGGCACTCCAGTGCTGGAAGGGACCAGGCTTCAATTTCCTGAACATGTCTAGTGGGCAGATCGGCCTCCCATTCACGTACAGAAAGGAAGTCAGTGCCCCTTCTCTAGCTCAGTGCTATACTCTGTCTCATTCAGTAGGACATGACACTGTCCAAGAAGCATATACTGTATCCTAGCAAACAAGAGCACTTGGTTTGCCTTATTTTTTCCTTACATTTCTAAGTTAAATCCTGTAGTCCAACTAGTTCATTCTCTCTAAAGAGAAACACAATACAGTCTCACATGAAGGACAAGGAGTATCAAAAGCCATAGAGAACAGAAAAACACCAGTGTCATTAGTGCTGCCAATAGTTTGAGTTATTTAGGAGACTGAGGCAGGAAGATCACTTGAGTCTAAGAGTTCTTAGAACAGCACTATGCTGATCAGGCAGCCATACTGGCATTAACACGGTTTCCTCCAAAGAGCAGAGGACCACCAAGTAACCTAAGAAGAGGTGAGCGAGCCCAGGTCAAAAATGGAGCAGGTCAAAACTGCCAAACTGGCTGGGTGCTGGTGGCTCACGTCTGTAATCCTAGCTACTCAGGAGACTGACATCTGAGGATCATGATTCAAAGCTAGCCAGGGCAGAAAAGTCTGTGAGACTCTTATTTCCAATTAACCACCAGAAAACCAGAAGTGGGACTGTGGCTCAAGTGGTAGAGTGCTTGCTTTGAGCTGAATAGCTGAGGGACAGCGCCCATGCCCAGAGTTCAAGCCCCACGACTGACCAAAAAATAAAAATAAATACAAAAAAAACCCTGCCAAACTGATCAGAAAATGAGAAGGCCAGATCAGAACTCCAGTGTCCAAAATTCCAGTGTATTATGATGCTGGAAGTTAAAAAACAAAAGGAGTTAAGAGTAAGAGGGAACACAGCATAATTAAGATAGGTGCCTCAATTTTAGCATCCAAAACAGAACTGATGGTCTGAAGAAGTCTCATCTCTCCCCTTGGCTTTAGGTTTTTCAGACTCTTGAAAAAAAAAGGGGGTACTGAAAGTATTGCCATTAGAGAGGTCTTATGGAGATCTGTGTCAGCGAATGAAAGGTTAGTAATTCTTCAGCAAGTAACTTCCTAACTTTGCGAACTGAGAGCACTGGACAAACTGGCCCCCTCTTTGTGCATACCAGGGGTGAGGCAGAATGACACACAGAGAAAAAAGGGCCACAGCCATTTTATTCAAGGTCCCATGGCAGGACAGGAGGCCATGCTGTCTCTCTGAGCTCTGGACAAGAAGGACTTGGAGCTCCATGATTGTCCCCATCTCTAAAGGTAGGAGGTGGTGGTGTGTGCATGGTCTGCCTTCAGTGGTTTCCCACACCAGCTGAACACAATAGAGCATTGGAGGGAGCCTTACCCCAAAGTGCTCTGGCACCAGCCACTGAAGCCTCTATGTCCACCTCCCCCATGCTCCAGGCTTTGCTGCTCCTTCATTCAATGACCTCAAGAAGGAGGCAGCCATGGCCTGGCCCATGGTTAGATAAGTGAGGCTGTGGGAGGGAAGACCTCAGGGGAGGAAGGATAGGCACATGGAAAAGGCCATGAGGGTGTAGGAGAGTTTCCTGGTAGGGCCAGGACTAGCGAAGATGTGGGCTACAGCCCCATTGGGGTTGCCCTGACCAGGCTCAAACCACTTCTGCAGACACTGTCCACTGTTCCTGTGGTTAGGGCTTGCCCTGAAGGAGTTGTTCCAAATCTTCTCACACAGGTCAGCTGGAGTGGGGAAATATTCAGGGAAAGGGCGGCAGGGGGCCTCTGCAGGGCAGCTGTTCCTCCCTGGAGGGGTGGGGTGTGGAGGGGGCTGAGAACGGACAGTTTGTTCCCACTGCTCCCCTCCGGTGCTCCTGTTTACTCTGGAGAGATGTATGCAGGTGGGCGCATGCACACACGCTGAGGACCTACCTTCCACTTGGGCACTGCTGAATCTACTTACCCCGATTCCAGTCCCAGTCGCCATGCCAGTTGGACTTGCAAGTGTAAGAGGATCTGCAGTCATCCCACCACTGCTTGCAGTCCTCCCTGCACAGGGGCACATTCCAAACCCGCTCTGTCTGCCCACTGGGGTCCATCTGGGCACAAGCACAGTGAGGGATGAGAACACAAGCAGCAGCAATTTGAAGATTACTAATAGCTGCAAGGGTCCTTGTACTGCCTGTACCTCATTCCTTCCAAAGCCTCTAAATAGTATTCAAATGAGAACAGTTAGGTTAAGTGGTTAAATAGTATGCCCCAGTGTATAACGCTATGAGGTACAGAAGATAGAATTCAAACTCAGTTCTATTTAACTCCACCAAACCTCTTTTGGTGACAGAGTCTCCTGCTGCTGTCCCCATCAGACCAGTGTCACCTGTCATCCCTTGTGTCAGCCCCCAGGGCATTCTCTTCATCTGCAACTGTCCTTACAGGGACAGAATTCCCCATTATACTAGCCTATGAGTTGATGATTCCCCATTATAGTAGCCTATGAGTTGATGGGATCTCCCAGTCTTAGTAACAGCGTTGCATGGGTCTGCCTTCCATCTCCTTACCGGCTGGATCCAAGGCCCCAGGTTAGGAGAACACTCATAGAAGCAGATGGCCCGAAAGAAGTGCTTCCGGCAGTGAGGTGTTAGCAATCCACAGTGAATCAGGGTGAAGTCATGGAGGGGGGACACGTCCAGGTGGGCTTCCCAGCTTGTGGAGGCGGTGCAGCAGGCATTGTCCTGCCACGGCATGCACTGAAGCAAAAAGCATGGGGCAGAGGGGCAGGGTCTGGCGAGAGTCTAGGGTGAAGGGTGGCAGAGTGAAAAATGCCCCTTAGGAGAAAGCTTGAGCCAGGCGCCGGTGGCTCACACCTGTCATCCTAGCTACTCAGGAGGCTGAGATCTGAGGATCATGGTTCAAAGCCAGCCCAGGCAGAAAAGTCCGTGAGACTCTTATCTCCAATAAACCACCAGAGAACCGGAAGTAGTGCTTTGGCTCAAGTGGTAGGGCTCGAGCCTTAAGCTGAAGAGCTGAGGAACAGTGCTCAGGCCCAGAGTTTAAGCCTCACGACTGACCAAAAAATAAAAATATAAAGAGAAAGCTTGAGCAGATGGGATAGCTTCAGTACTCCTCGCAGATGGGGAACTCCGATAATCTATCAATAAGCACCCCAAGGGCAGGAGAGCAATGACTATGACTTCCCACTGCATTGTCTCCCTGTCACACACCACAATCTCTCGGGGTTTCCAACCATGAGGCAGCAGGGGCCTTTCAGGAAAATCCAAGAAGCCTCCAGAGAGACACAGGGAAATATAGAGTTGCACTGGGTGGGTAAGGTACTACTAAATGCTGGCTCTGTATTTCCACCCATATCTGTGGCAATGGCCTCAGGGCCTGTTGATAGAAGACTCATTTTGAACATATTGAACCCAACATTTGGCAATTGGGACTACCATTTGTCCTGCTGCCCTCCAAGTCAGCAATGACATGATCAGGGCTGGTGTGCATCCATGATCTACCTGAGAAGCTCTCTCTCATGTCTAGGCCACGTCTGGCCTCCCTCTGTACCTCCATATAGAGCTTGTCTTCTGGGCCTGGCTCTCTCTTGTGATGTTTGGTGCTCATGCAGACATCGAGCAGTTTGTCCGCAGTCCAGGTGGGCATGACTGTCCACAACCCTAGCAGGAACTGCCACCACTGTGCCATGGCCTGCCATAGAAGGAGACTCATGCTGCTCATGCGATGAGTAGCGAACCCTACCCCACTCCCTCCACCAGATCAGGCACTGGAGGGGGAGTATGCGTTCCAAAGCTCCCTCACATGGCTCTGACACTGGTGACTCCTCAGACCTTCTGCCTTGAGCAGCATCATAGAATTTTAGGGCAGATGGAACAATCCTCAGTCACACATTCCACCCCCAACCATTGTGCAGATACAGAAACTGACATCCAGTGAGGGCTGGGGACCAGTCCTAGGGAGGAGGTCATGGAAAGAATGACTCTAGCCTCTCCAGGGAGGAACTTTTTCTAACCCTTTTCCAATTATAGGCAGCCTTTCTATATGGACTGAGAAATCAGACCTTTGGTCCTGGACCACAGCCACGCTCCAAATGCTGGCTGAGTAACTGAACAAATACTCAGCAATCAGATTTTCTGTAGGATGGCACAGTGGGGTGGAACAATATGCCAATGCAAGCTTTATCCAACAGGTGCCCCTAGGAGAGGTCCACATAAGGCCCAAAGCTGTCAGTGTAGCCCAGCCCCTTACCAGCATCCTCAGTCAGAGTTCTTCCCTGAGAGTAATATCTCTGCTTCTATCAACCTCAGCCCATCTCAGATTGAGTGCAAGCCAAACGTATGGGTCTTGTTGGCTCTCAGAGCTGGTAGTATGCTCAGGCAGAAGTGTATGAGGAGCTATCAGCTCCATGCCCATGCCCCAACACAGAGCAAAGAGGCTAGCCTTATGTAAAGTGCTAAGTACTTTATTTCCAGCTCTGCTCTCAATTATATTGGCAATAGGTGGAAAGAAAGACAACACCCCCATAAAAAGCAAGGCGTACCCTGCTTCAAGCACCCATCCATGGGCCTTTGCAATATCTGCCAGGCTCCCCTCCTCCCAGCTCAGGCCAGGAACTATCCTGGATCGATCACAATGAAATGGAGTAAAGAACCTCAGACATCCTGGGGAATAGAGATGTGAGTAGCCAGTCAGAGCCCATCCTCAAGGGTAAACCTGCCTACTCTCTCCACAGGATCAGTTCTAAGCTCAGATACAGACACTAAGTTAGAATAAAAGAGGAAAGAAACTGCTGCTTGAGTATTCTCTCCATACTCACTTTCAAACAGGAAGTTTCCTCCCAGGTGCTTGTTTTTACCCTCCAGAAAGTGAGAAAGGCTAGGGAAAATCCACCTATTTATTACCTAACTCAGTTTCTACAAGATACAGGTGGAGATCAGAGCCGCAGGCAGCTGTAGCTGAGCAACCTCCATCTTAATCTGTCTCTGCAGCCTGTTTGCATCCAGAAAAACATGACCTTATAGCAGGAGATATCCTGGTCCTGCAGTCCTCTGAGGAGTTGAACAAATCTGTTGTTTTCCCCCATCCAGATAAAATGAGATTACTGTGGCAAAAAAGGTAAGAGTTCTAGAAAAGGACTCGATGGTACATTTTGATATGTCTTAAGATTTTAGTCAACTCTTTTTTCTGAATCTGTCTCTCCCTTTCTTCCTCCTCTCTTACTGCCTCTCTTTTCTCTTTCCCCTGTTATATTACTCACCTCTCTTTGCTCCTTTCTTACTCCATCACCAGGTAGTCTGAAGAGCACAGGATACAGAGATAAGATATGGTCTTGGGGACCCAAGAATTTAACTGTACAACCAAAGCCAAAACAAGACACCTCTCACAACCCACAAGACTGCCTCCATGAACACATAGACCTGTGAGATATTCTGCAACTGTTCTTTTGGGAACCAAAGCCATATTTTTGCTTGGTTCTTGGAGAAGTAGGAAAAGACATTGAAGGTACTGATACATAGGAAATAAAAATAATAGTGTCTAGACATACATTTTTTTTGGTAGTAGTGGGGGTTGAACTATGGGCCTTGGCCTTGCAAGGTAGTCACTCTATCATTTAAAACATGACTTCTTTCTTTATTTTATTATTTTACTTTATATTTTGGAATGTAACCTTTTTATTATACTTTTATTATCTTTAAATAGTTGTACAAAGGGGTTAGCATTCAACTAATCAGTGTATAATATAGCATGGTCTATATCATCCTTTTTATTTCCTTCATTCCTCTCAACCCAAACCCTCCCTTCAGTTTTTTAAGTTTCATAGGATATGCATTATATATTATGAGTGTATTCTCCCCCCTTCTTCTCTTCATTCGTCTACACCCCTCCCTATGACCTCCACTGACATCTTTCAAGCACCAACTTCCTGGTATGTGTTTTGTTGGACTTTGAGTTAGTTTTCCTAAGGAGTTATTTCATTTGAATTTTCCCCTGCACATGCCATATTTTGGTTAATATGTTTGTATCTAATTACACATGAGTTCATATGTATTTACTTATATATTTATAAATTAAATCTTACTTCCACATCTGATAGAAAACATGTATAATTTCTTTGCAAATGACATAGTACTAATGGATGAGTAAAATTCCATTATGTCTATATTCTACCTTTTTGGATATATTTGTTCATTGAAAAGCATCCGAGATGTTTCTATACTTTGACTATGGTGCAGCAATTAACATGGTTGTGTGAGTATCTTTACTATATCCTGATTTGTAATCATTTGGATAAATTTCAATAGTAGTTTTGCTGGCTCATAAGGTAGTTCTGTGTTTAGTTTTAGAAGGAATCTTCAAACTGCTTTCCAGAACAGGTGTACCAGTTTACATTCCTACTAACAGTGTATCAGAGATTCTTTTTCCCCATGTTCATTTATTATTGCTTGTATTCTCAAGGATGGCCATCTAAGTAAGGTCTTGCATTTTTCCAGCCTGGCCTGGACTGATCCTCTGGTATATGCCTTGGAGCTTGGAGGAGGCATCCTATACAGCTAGGATGACAAGCATATACCATTCACCCAACTTATTAATTGAGACAGGGACTTGGCCTGGACTGGCCTTAATCTAATCTTGATCTCCACCTCCATAGTAGCTAGGAGTACATATGTGAGCTATCACACTAGTTTAAAAACATTTTTTATCTTAAGAAACATTTTTTTTTGGGGGGGCGGTTGGTCATGGGGCCTGAACTCTGGGCCTGGATGCTGCCCCTCAACTCTTCAGCTCAAGGCTAACTCTCTACTACTTGAGCCACAGAACCACTTCGGCTTTTTTTTCTGCTTATGTGGTACTGAGGAATCAAATCCAGGGCCTCATGCATGCAAGGCAAGCACTCTACCACTGAGCATCTTCCCAGCCCCTGTAGAAACATTTTTTTAATTCAGAGCTACCATTGACAATGAATGGTCTTGTTGGAAAATGATACTTTACCTCATCTGAGTAATAATTATTGCACACCAATAAAAACCAGGCACACTGAATTAGAGCCATCTGCACAATGTGACTTGATTTCTTGCAACAACCCCAAGGGTGTCTTTCTTGCTTTAGATGTAGGGGAACTGAGGCTCAGCTAGAAATGCAGAGGTAGGATCTGAACTCAGGTATATTGGACTTCATATCTGGTACTTAAGAACTGGGTGAGAGGAAGTGGCACTGTGGCTCAAGTACAGAGCACTAGACTTGAGCTGAAGCCCTCAGGGACAGCACCCAGGCCCAGAGTTCAAGTCCCATGACCGACAAAAAAAAAAAAAAAGAACCAGTGAGATACAATGAGATCGAAAGAGGACAGGAGAAAAACTCAATGCCCAAGTGCCTCTTGATATTTTTGTAAAATAATATATTTATATGTTTTGAAATTAACTCCAAGATATGGAAACAAGAGACTCCACTCTGCCTGTCTGTCTGTCTCTCTCTCTCAAAGTTTTTGATGATTCTGTTTTCTTTACATTATGTATGGTGTATTCATGTGTATATCTTTGGAAGGGTTGGGGAGGGGGAAAGAACTTGAGGGGAAAAGGGGAAAAAAGTACAGCAATGGAATTCACTGGACATGGATGAAAGTGAACTATACAATTTGTGGGTGGAAACAGGAGGGAGGTCCTGGGAGAGAATGAGGGAACAGAAGACACTGTACAAAAGGAAATGTACTCATTACCTGACTCATGTAATTGTAATCCATCTTTATATCACCTCTATAATAACTATATAGTAATAATAACAACAATAATAATAAGAGTAATTTCTCAAAAAAAAAAGAGGAGACCATCAGGGCTACTATGTAGTGCCAACTTCATGAGTCTCACGTTTACTTTAAGAAAAAAGATTAATAGCCAGCAATAGTTGTTCAAGCCTGTATTACTAGCTATTTTGGAGGGGGAGTTCTGAGGATCAGGGATGGAGACAATCTGGGCGTAAAGCTCATTAGACTTCAGCTCACTCAATGGCTGGGAGCAGTGGTGTGTGCCTGGTAGCCCCAGTGACATAGGGAAACACAAGCAGAAGGAATACAACATGGGCCATCCTGGGCATAATGCAAGATCCTATCTTGGAAAATAACCAAGGTAAAAATGGGGCTGGAGGTGTGTCTCCAGCAGTACAGTGCCTTGCTTTGCAAGCTTAATCCCCAGTACTGCCGACAAACAAAACAGTTCAATGCCATGGTGTGTGTGTGTGTGTGTTAGATTTGCAGGGGAACAGTTGCGTTACCACCCAGCATACTCATCCTGCCTAAAGCAGAGCTGGGAAAACCCTCCTCCTCCAATTAGATACCAAATGGAATGGCAATTTTGCCACATGGTCTGTTCACATTAGAGCCCACTGGGGAAGGTGGAAGTAAGCATGAATGCCCCATGCAATTCCTCACAAACATTCAGAGGGTGCTAAGCCTCAAAAAAGCCAGAGATATTTGCGACTGTCTGTTAAGCTTAAAATGGCTGTGGATATGGCAAGGACAAAACTCCAGAAATGCGTCATCAAGTCATTACTGCAATGGAAAACTGTCCTTCATGTGGAGGGAAGAAGGACAAGAAGGAACGTTCTAATGATCTGTAGGACAAAGCTGTAGGAAATGAGCTAAAATTACAGCCAGCACAGAGGCAGGTGGAGGGTGGGTGGAGGAATTATGGTGG